TTGCAGTTGAGGAAACTGAGACAGGTAAGAGACCTGTCCAGGGTCACACAGTTACGATGTGTCTGAGGCTAAATTTGGACTTAGGTCTTCTTGATTTAAGACCCAGTGCTCTATCCACTGAGCCACCTAGCTACTTGGGAAGTTCCCTGTATCTTCCTCAGTGAGCAATGGGAGAGAAGAGACTATATGTTCATAGCTAAGTAAATGAATGAATGACTGAATAAATGAATGAAAGAAAAGGCTTTTTAAAAACTTACCCTGTGCCAAGCACTGTGCTATTTACCAGACATACAAACAGAAAAAGCAAGACAGCCTTTGTTCTCAAAGAACTCATACTCTAAATGGTAGAGTCAATACATAAAAGAAATTGCAGCTTCAGGGCAGGAGTCCTCAGATTACATTATAGGTCAATATGACGGTGTCCAAGGGTCTAGAGGATATAGAAGTAAGAAGATGGTGAGACTTGGAGGCTCTTAGGGTGTAGAGTCAGGGCAGATGGTAAGGCTTGGTGATTTTCTGTCTCAGTGGGAGCAATACAAGTGGGAACTCCAATCTCATCCAAGTGATATGAGGAATCAAACAGTCCAGGTGGGGTATGAGAAATCTAGAGCTGGATAAGGGTGACGGGAACACAAGTCGGGAGAGTGTCCCCACCTCCTGCCATAGGGAGTCTTTCCTCTGCCATGCCCGTCCAGATGAGTTCTGGACAGCCTGGGGCCAGGGAGGGAGCAGAAGAAGGGAATTACATACGAATAAGTGTATTTAAGGTGGGAGTGAGGACTCACACTGGAGGGAACTTTTAAAAGCCTGTTGAAGAAGATAAGCTTGAGCTGAGCTTTGAGTGGATGTGAAACTTCCCGAGTTGGAGGTGTGGAAGGAGAGCATTGCAGGCATGTGGGACAGCCTGAGCAGAAGCAGAGAGGTAAGAAGGCCAGTTGATCTAGCCTCTAGAGCAAGGGCTTATGGCCATTTTCTGGTGTATGTTATGAATCCCTTTGGCAGTCTGGTGAAGCTGATGGACTCCTTCTTAAATAATGTTATGAATTTAAAATAATTTATTATTTTTATTTCTCAACCTAACACATGTTTAAAAAAATTTTTAATCTGCCCTTCCCATTACTCTTCTCCCACCTCCAAGCATTAGGAAAAAGCAATGTGAGAAATGCTAACAGTTTGGTTCCCACAGATTCGATAAGAACACAGAAATGTGTAAAAGAGGATGAAAGGGGGGGCAGAATGACTCTATCCAATCATATAGCTGGAAGAATTCTATAAGTTCCTCTTGAAGGGGACCCCGGCTGAAACCAGCTTAAGCTGGTCAGGGTCAAGGATGGTCCCTGACTTTTCACTAACGGCATGCTTAATTAGCCTCATGCATATTAATTTACACACCCCATGGGAGGAGACAGCCGCCATTTTTGAACATGCGTTGCATGACAAGAGAGGGGAGGACACATTAAGGAGTAACATGAAAAGGGCGGTCCAGGAAGAGGGATGTCCTGTCTGTCTGTGACCAGTGGATGAAAGGGAAGGTGGAACAAGGTGGGGTTAAAGCCAAATAAACCTATATAATCCCTTGCTCTGCTGTATGGATGTGTGTGGGTCCGGTGAGGGAACATACACTGATTCTCCTTGAGAATTGACAATAAAGATATCTCTTCTTGCACTCCACAACTGTGATTTTGTTACTACCCAGCTCAGGGAATTCAGCCAGCCCAGTCTCGAGCTGAATTCTGAATTCAGTCTGAGGTCTTTATAATAACAACAACAAAACAAATCTCTCAATGCATATCTATATAGTCCAGAAAAAAACCCACATTAGCCATTTCTCAAAATATGCATCTTTTCCTACATTTTGAAGTACTTTACTTCTCTCCCAGGAGGTTAGCAGTGTTTTTAATCTTTGCTATCTTGAACTCAGTGTTTCATCATTGTAGTGCTCAGAGTTCTGAACTCCTTCAAAATTGTTTTTCTTAAGAATGATGTTATCATTGTATAAAGGGCAGCTAGGTGGTGCTAAATGGCATGGTGGAGTCAGAAAGACTCATCTTCCTGAATTCAAATCCAGCCTCAGCCACTTACTAGCCGTGTGACCCTGAGCAAGTCACTTAATTCTGTTTGCCTAGTTTCCTCATCTGTAAAATGAGTTGGAGAAGGAAATGGCAAACCACTCCAATATTTCTGCCAAGAAAACCCTAAGTGAAGTCACAAAGAGTTGGATACTACTGAAGAATGATGAAACAACAAATCATTGTATAATTGTTGTAGTCCTTCCCCCTTTCTTCCACAACAGTTTATAGAGGTCTTCCCCGCTTTCCTTTCATTGTTTCCTATGTCACAATAATATTTCATCACCCTCATGCAGCACACATTGTTTAACCATTCCCCAATAGAAGGACTGCTCTTTAGTTTCCAATTTTTGGCTCCCATAAAGAGAGCTGTCATAAATATTTTTGTGCATACAGATCTTTTTCTTTTGACTTTGATTTCTTTGGGATATAGGCCTACTAGTAGAGTAGCTGGGTCAAAGCTATGCACAGTTTAATAACTTTCTGGGCATAGTTTCAGATTGCTTTTCAGAGTGGACGAGCCCATTCACAGCTACACAAATAGTACACTACCGGTTTCCCCAGAGCCTCTCCAACATATTTTCCTCTTTTGTAGTCTTTGCCAGTCTGATAAGTGTGAGGTAGAACCTTAAAGTTATTTAATTTGCATTTTTTCTGATTATTAGTGATTTAGAGCATCTTTCATGATTATCGATAGCTTGGATTTTTTCCTTTGAAAACTACCTCTTCACATCTTTTGACCATATATCTATTATAGAATGCCTTAGTCTTATAAACTTGAATCAGCTCTATATATGTATATGTATGTATGCATATATTTGCATACATATATATTTATCAGAAAACTTGTTACAATAATTATCCCGTTACCTGTGCCTCTTTTAATTTTTACTACATTAGAATTGTTTGCATAAAACATTTTAAAATTTTATATAACCGAAATTGTTCCTCTTTATCTGGTGTGATCTTATCTTTCTCTTGTTTTGTCAAGAATTCTTTCTTATCCATATATCTGGAAAGATAACTTCTTCCTTGCTACTTTCATTTGTTTATGATGTAACCACTTATATCTAGGTCACATATTTATTTGGAGTTTATCTTGGTGTAAGTTACAAGGTGTTGGTCTATACCTAATTTCTGCCAGACTGCTGTCCCATATTTCTACCAGTTTTTGTCAAATAATGAGTTCTTTCGGGGGTCATTGGGTGTGTCAAACACTATGCTACTGTTGGATTGCTTCCATACATTGTAAACCTAGTCTGTTCCTTTGATCAATCTCTTTCTTTTTTTAACCAGAACCAAGTTATTTTAAAGATTACTGCTTTGTAGTACAGTTTGACATCTGGCATCAGTAGATCCTCTTTCTTCCCACTTTATTCCTTCCCAAATTATTGTCCTTGAGATTTTTTTTAACCTTTTGTTTCTCTATATTAATTTATTATTTTTATAATACAATTATACAATGATTTGTTGTTGTTTAGTCATTTTCCAGTTGTGTCTGACCCTTTGTGACTTCTTTGGGGAATTTTTTGGCCGAGATACTGGAGTGATTTGCCAGCTCATTTTATAGCTGAGGAACTGAGGCAAATAGGGTTAAGTGAATTGCCTAGGGTCCCACAGCTAGTAAGCTCCACACAATATTCGTAAGAGAGTTTGGTACAGCACTGGATAAGTAAATTAACATAGGTAGTATTTTCATCTTATATTACAATTTTTATTCTTGTCATGGATCCCTTGGGTAGTCTACAGATCCCTTCTTGGAATAATGCTTTTCAATACATAAAATAAAATATATAGGCTTGCAAAGGAAACCAATTATATTAAAATAATTCTCAAATATTTAAAAAATAAATTCACTGACCCCAGCTTAAGGCCCCCTGCTTGAAGTGTACAGTGTATGAGGAGAAATAATGCACAGTAAGTCTGGAAAGATTGGCTGGAGCGAAGTTGTGAAGCGCTTTACGTGTCAAACAGGATTTTGTGTTTTAAATCAGAGGCAGTAGAGAGACGCTGATGCTTCTTGAAAAGGAGAGAGACATTGTCAGACATCTCAGCAGATGAAAAAATAAAATAGATCTTGCTCTTAAGGATTTCACATTTTATAGAAACCTTCACTAAACATCTGCTTCCCCCACCCCCTCTAACAATGTTAATGGTGTTTTCTCCTACACATGGTCCTAGAGCACTTTTTGGGGGGTGAGTGATTTCTCGCCCCTTTTTTGTCCCATTACTCCCTACCTTGTAATTGGCTCAGCTCTGTGCATATCAAGTTCCTGTTCACAATAAAGAGCTTACATTTTACTGAAATCTTGACTAAATACCTCCTCCCCACCAACCACAGTGTTAACAGTGTTCTCTACTCCATATTTCCCTAAAGCATCTGAGGGGAGATGAGGGGCCGGGTGGGGAAATCCCTACCTTAACTTTGCCTTGCCTCATCGCTGCCTGCCCTGTGATAGACTTAGCTCCATAATAAGTTCCTGCACCTCCCCTCACAGAGGATGGGACTGCTTCCCTTTTTAAACTTTGGATCTCCACCATCTTTTCGTGGAAAAGGTAGTATTTGAACATTTGGCATTTGGCCTGTTCTTTGAAAGAACATTTCTGAATGTTTCCTTCCCCTTTCCCCTATCTACTGAGCCATCCTTTATAACAAGGAATAATAATAATAAATAATTCAGTAAAACCAGACATACTGAGTGTAAATGATAAACAATATATGTGGTATTCCTCATACTTAGGCCCTCCCCCATTTAAAGATCCTTTCTAGCCTGTGATTTGTTATCCATGGTTTACTGTGTCCCGGTTTAGTATCAATGCATGACTATAGCTTTTCCCACAATTCTTCCCATCTTACTCCTTATGCATAGTTATGGAAGATAAATCCAGGACTATTTGTTGCTCACTAATGCTTATTTCTTTCCTCCACAGGTCATGCACAACAAACTCATAGGAAGTCTGCTGATAGGATCCTTTAAAGTAGATCTGGGAACGGTTTACAACCAGCCAGGTAGAGTAACATTGACTCTTTCCCTTTTCCCTTCCCTCCCTTTTCCCTTCCTCTCCTTTTCCCTCCTTCCCCCTTCTCCCTCCCCTTGTCCCTCCCTCCCTTTTTCCCCTCTCCTACCTTTTCCCCCCTTGCACCTTCTCTCCCTCCCTCCCTCCTTTTCTTTCTTCCCTTCCTTCCCTCTCCTCTTCCTCAACATCACCATCATTATAAAACTTTCCAAACCTATGCCACTTTTAGTTCTCCCATCTTCTACTTCTTATAGCCGCTGACCCACAAAACCTTTGAGATCTTCTAGTCCAACCCCCCTATTTTAGAAATGAGGAACCTTGAGACCTAGAAAGGGGAAGTGAAGAGGTGTTATGGTATAGTGATAACCTTATATACCATAAAAATCTTGAGGGGGTTAGCCTAGATGATCTCTGACGTCGCTACTGTTTTGTGTATTGCAAAAATTTCAGAAGTTAGTTTAGTTTATTTGATGCTTGTTAATAACCCTGTGAGGCTGCATATCATAGTGAATAGAGACTTTAACTGAGCCAGGAAGATCTGAATTGAAGTCTTGCGTCTGACACATACCGGCTGTATGACTCTGGGCAAATCACTTAACCTCTCCATTCATTCACTAGCAACTCTCGAAGAGTATAAATTGCAATGAAAGTACCAACTTGCCTTGGCAGAGAGAGTTTCCTTATCCTGGTATTTATGGTTTTTAATTTCATGTAATTAAATGAATTTAAAAATAAATTTTAATTTAATTAATTATCCCTTATCACCTCTGTGAAATAAGTAAAACAGAAGCATTAACATTTTCCCCAACCCCCCCTTTTTTTTTTCAGGTAAGGAAATTGAGAGCCAGAGGGTTTAGCACAATGCTGCATAGCTAATGAGTGGTCTTATGATTCATTAGTCTCTGCCATTGGGCATTATCCATTTATGGTGAAGGTGTCCCCAAGATGCCTAGATTGGGTTGTATTACAATGTGGAAGCCACAGTCACCCTAACTCTCCTTAAAATCACTCTGTAACTTCTGAATCTTCTTACTTTGGAATACTCTGTTGCTGCCATGATGGGAAAGTGACAAAGTATTTTCCTTTCTAAGGACACAGGACGCAGAAAGAGGATGCTTCACAGCCATGTGTATGTCTATTCAAAGCATAGAGTAAGCAAGGAGAAAAATTTATCAACAGATTTTCAAATGTATAAGTCTGTGCCCAGTGTACTGAATAAACAAAGAAGGAAAATGATACAGGGAATTTACAATCTAAAAGAGGATTGTAGCACACACATAAATAAGTAACACAAGGTAAATTAGAAGAGAGGAAAAGAAAAGAGCCAGACAAAGTGCTCTAGGGAAATTTGATGAAGCAGAGATCGCTTTCGCCTAGGGGAGCCTAGGAAGGCTCCAACTTGAGCTGGGCCTGGAAGGAAGAAAAGATTTTGAACTGATAGAGATGGTGAGGTTGCATTTTCCAATTACTGAAGTTGCCCCCATGTGAATGCACAGGATCTGGAAAAGGCAAGACATGATTAAGGTTCAGTTAAACATAGAATGAGTGAAGGGGAACAGTGTAAAATAACATTAGAATGGTGGTTTGGAATCAGATCACAGAGGTCCTTAAGTGTCCGGCTGCCGAGTTTGTATTTTATACTACAATCACTAGGGACCTACTACATGTCATGTAGCTGGGGAATGATATGGTGGGACCTATTCCTTAGGAACATTATTTTGGCAGCTAAGTGGATGATGCACTGGAGAATGCAAACTGGAGACCAGTTGAAAGCTGAGGAAGTACTGAACTAGGGTGGTAGCAGTCAAATCAATAAGCATTTTTAAGCACCTGCTGTATACAAAGCACTGTATTGCATAAATAGAAAGGACAATCTTGGGGCAGAGGTCTCCAGTGCATCTTAGAAGAATGTTATATAGGCATTGGATAGAAGCAAAGACCATAAGAAATGGAAGTGATGTTAAAGGTCACCTACTTCAACATCTTCATTTTACAGGTAAGGAAACTGAGGCCTAGAAAAGTAAAGTAACTTGTACTAGGTCACACAGCTCAAATAATAAATCAGTAAACATTGATTCAGCACTTGGTGAGTTCCAGGCACTGTGCTAAGCACTGGAGATAAAAAAAAAGAGGCAAAAGGCAGTCCCTGCCTTCAAGAGGCTTGCAATCTAATGGGAGAGACAACATGCAAACAAATATATACAGAGCAAGCTATATACAGGATTAATAGAGGACAATTAAAAGAGGGAAAGCATTAGAATTAAGAGGGGCTGGGGAAGGCTTCCTCTTTTAACTATACTGATGCCTAAGCTTTTATCTGTATTCTTACAGGTCACCAGTTTTGTGATAAGTGGGCCCTTCTCACAGACCCAACTAATATCAGGATGGGCACCAAGGGGTATCTGAAATGTGATATCAGCGTGGCTGGGAAAGGAGACATCCTGCAGGCCAGTCCTAAAACATCTGATGCTGAAGAACAGATAGAAAAGTGAGACTGATCAACCTGGGTTTGTAAGACACATTAAAAAAAAAAAAGGGTGGCGCTGCTCTGTTATGTCACCTTGTTTTTTAGTTTATTAGTTGTGCCTGACTCTTTGTGACTCCTTTTGAGGTTTTCTTGGCAAAATTGAAGTGGTTTGCCATTTCCTACTCTAGCTCATTTTACAGAGGAAGAAATTGAGGCAAATGGGGTCACACAGCTAGGAAGTGTCTGAGGCTGGATTTCAGCTCAAGTTTTTCTAACTCCAGACTCAGCACTCTTTCCACTGTGCCACCTAGCTACCTTATCCATACCCTTTGTGATTTTTGAGGCATGATAATAATCCCTTTAAACCCACCCTCTTTTTTTTCTGTCTTCAAGGAACCTTTTGATCCCCCAAGGATTCCCCTCTGAGAGACCCTGGGCCAGATTCTATGTGAGACTCTTTCGAGCAGAGGGCCTGCCCAAAATGAACTCTAGCATCATGGCCAACGTCACCAAAGCATTCGTGGGGGACGGCAAAGACCTGGTGGATCCCTTTGTGGAGGTCACGTTTGCAGGCCAGATGGTAAGGAACAGCTGTGGTAAAGGCCATCCCTAAAGTGGGGAGGGGGAGCTATATAGGTCGTGGGCCAAAATATGTGGCCTTCCTCCAAAAACCAAATGTTTCCCTTCAGTACTTTGTAAGCCTTTGTGCACTATCACATATACAGTTTTATTATTACCAGTAAAATTGGATTAAAATAAACATCAAGGGCAAGTTTGGTGGGGAAAAGAGCTAGGAAAGAGGAGAATGAGGAGAATGTGTGGATGACTAGACGACATTGCCTTGGTGATAGAAGGGATGGTAGAAGGGGATTTAAGAATAAAAGTAAATTCCAGATTCCTCTTAGTACCAACTGAATGCCATCTTCTTTCCTCTCACTTGCTGCCTCTCTGAGTCAATGTCTAGTCTCTCAAAGTACAGGATCTGTGAACAGCTAGAAATGCAAAAGATATCAAGCTCACTTGGCAAAAATGTCTGCATTCAGAGAGGTTATGGATTTGTCTGTGGTAATGCAGCTTGTAAGAGTGAAAGTTAGAACTTGAACCCTAGCCCTCGTCCAATGATTTACCATTGATTATGATAGCATTCTGCTTTTACATGCTCACATGATGAAAAGCAACCAGTTGCCAAGCATTTATTAAGCACTTGATATTTGCCAAGCTCTGTGCTGGCTTTAAGGATAAAAGATAATATAACAAATTCCTGCCCTCAAAGAGCTTACAGTCTGCTGGGGGAAATAGAACATACTCATAGAACAACAGAACATAATTGATTTAAAGCTAGAGCCCTATTCATCAGTGAAAGAAGGGAAGGCTTTAAAGGAGAGGCATTACTTGAACTGAACCTTAAAGGAGAAGTATTTAGACAGGGAGAAGTAGGAGGAGGAGAGTGCATTCTGAGTAAAAGGAAGGAGAGGGAAGATGGAATGCTGAGTCTAGATAATACAAAGTATGTTGGTTTTAATTTTAGCCTAAAGGTAATAGGGAGCCACTGAAGATTTTTGAGAAAGGAGAATGATGTCATATCCCCTTGCCTAATGGTAGTTATTTTGTTTTCTTCAATATACTTTTCTCTATTTGGCCAATTGTATTTTTTAAGGACTTGTTTTCTGTAGTTAATTTTTGTCCTTCCTTTTCTAAGATATCAGTTATTTTGTTTTCTTCAGTATACTTTTTTTCCGTTTGTTTTTTTAAGGACTTGTTTTCTGCAGTTAATTTTTGTCCTTCTTTTTCCAAGATATTGACTCTCTCTTGCCTACCTCTCATTTCCTTTCTCAATTTTTCTTTAACCTCTCTTATTTGACTCTTAAAATCCTTCTTGACCTCTTCCAAGAAGATTTTTGGGCTTGAGACCAGTTCATATTTCATTTTGAGGTTTTGGAAGTGAGTATATTGACAATGTTGTCCTCTTCTGAATTTGTGCCTTGATCTTCCCGCCCCCACAAAAAGAATCTGTGGTATTGTCCATTTCTGCCTTTGGTTCATGGCATTTGCCTATTTCCTGACTTTTAAAAAAAAAAGTTGAACTCTCCTGCTACAGTACAGGAGGCATTGACTCAAGCTTCTTGTGCTGGGAGCCTGGGATCTGGTCACTGGCTTTGTATCCTGGGGCTTCAGCTGCTGGCAGTTGGAGGCTGTAGGGTTCTGGCACCTTCCCTGGTTCTGGGCTGGGGTGAGCAGTACTGGAGCTCCCGGGGTGGGAGTGGGGAATCTGGCCCCTGGGGGACGCCTGCTCACCAGGATCTTGCAGTCAAATGTTTGGCTCCGGCTCACCCGGGCCTTGTACTCATATGTTTGGCTACTGGAGGATGGCTGTCAGCCTGGAGCTTTGCCTCTTGGAGTTGTGCTTCCCAGAGTTGTGCTGAGGCACCAGGAGATTTGGCTACTGGAGAATGCTGTTGTATGTGGTGGTTTTCCAAGCTGGTGTCTACTGCTTCCCCTGCCTACACTGAGGCACTCGGGGGAGGAGGGTCCTGGTGTTGACATTTGCCTGCTCTACCATCCTACGGCTCAGGATCTTTCCCTGGTAAGCTGAGGTGGGGCTTGCCACTGGCTTGCTGGGACACCTCCCATCCTGTACTGCCGCCCTCCCCCAGATTGAAAGGGGACTTTCCATTAATCCCCCCACCTTCCTGGGCTACAAGACTGCTGCACCCCATCTTTCTGCTGGTTCAGCTGTTTCAGGGTTTTTCCTGGGGCAATATTTTCTGGGCTTTCAGAGGTCAATAGGGGAGGGTGAAAGCAACTTCCTTCTTACTCTGCCATCTTGGATCCCAGAAGCGGAGCTCCAATGGTAGTTATTTTGGCCACTATCTGGAGAATGAGCTATAGAGGGGAAAGCCAGGAAGCTAATTAGGAAGGAAGGAAACAGGTATTTATTAAGTACCTACTATGTAGTAGGCTTTATGCGGAGTATTTTACAAGTATTATCTCATTTGAGGATTACAAGCATTATCTCATAAGATCTCATTTGGTCCTCACAATACATATGGGAGAGAAGTGCTGTTATTGTCCCCATTTTACAATGAGGAAGCTGAGGGAGAGGTTAATTGACTTGCCTAGAGTCACACAGCTAGTAAGTGTCAGAGGCCAAATTTGAATTAAGTCTTCCTGATTCCAGGCCCAGTTCTCTATCCACTGCTCTACCTAATTACTGGTAGGAGTCTACTATAATACTAAAATAGGAATGACGATCTAAATTAGGAAGGCAGCCTTGAGTTAAGAGAAGGGAGGGAGTTTGAGAAATGCTACAGATTGGGAACAGCAGGACTTGGTAACTGGTGATGGATATGGGTGATGATATGGGTGATGAGGATATGGAGGAAGAATTAAGAATGACTTGGAGGTTACAAACTTGGGTACCAAGGGGAAAAAAGAACTAGGAAATTTGGAAGGAAATATAACAAGTTTGGTTCAATAAATACTGAGTTTGAGATGGTGACAGGACTTCCAAGTGGAGGTGTCATCCGCACCTGCTGAAATCCTACTCATCCTTCAAGGTCTAGCTTAATTTAGTTCAGCTAAATTCATTAGACATTTATTAAGCAGCTACTATTGTCAGGATTTTCAGGACAGCTAGGTGGCACAGGTATTGGAGTCAGGAAGACTCATCTTCCTGAGTTCAAATCTGGCCTCAGACTCTTATTATCTGTGTGATCCTTACTAGCAAGTCACTTAACCCTGTTTGCCTCGGTTTCCTCATCTGTAAAATGAGTTGGAGAAGGAAATGGCAGCCACTTCAGTATCTTTGTCAAGAAAACCCCAAATGGGGTCATAACTGAAAGGAAAATTTCAGGAGAGATTCTTAGGTGCTGGGGATGAAAACAAAAAACAAAACAAAAAACAAAACAAAACAAAACAAAACAAAAAAAGCAAAAAACAACAAAAACAAGGGAAAGAAAATGTATACACATGACTACAGTACAAGTTAGAATGTGATAAGTGCATTGGATGAATTAAGTAGAACATGGTAGCAGACTATGGAGGAGATGGTCCCTAACTGAAGGGTGGGAAAAAGCAAAAGTGTGAGGACAGCAGCTTAGGTAAAGTCTTTGCTGACCCCCTGACTAGCCAGAAGTGGTTGGTTTCTTTACTATGCCTCTCTAATACTTTGTACCTCTCTCATGGCATTTCTCTCTGTCTGTGTCTCTTTGTCTGTCTGTCTCTCTGTATTGTATTCATTTCATAGTGGGTAGAGAGAGTACTGGGGCTTGGAGTCAAGAAGGCCTGAGTTAAAATCCTACATCAAACACTTGCCAACTTTGTGACCCTGGGCAAGTCACTTCTCTGGGCCTCTGTTTCTTCGTTGGTAAAATGGGACGATAATAGCACTTACCTGACAGAATTATTGCAGTTATCAAATGGGGTAACATATGTAAAGTACTTTGCAAATCTTAAAGGGCTTCTAAATGCTAGCTTTTATCACTAGTATAAGCTTCTCAAAGACAGGGACTAAATCTTCTACCTCTTTTTATCCCCAGTGTCTCATATGCTGTTGTGCTCACAGTCAATGCTCATTTGTTTTTAATTTGAACCCAAGAGGCTGTTGGAAGTAAACCAAAACTACGCCAACGACTGGTGTTTAACCAATTTTTATTGACTCATTTTTGAATGTTCAGCAGATTCATATGTCTCTCTTAGCTTACAAACTGTGTTCACTCAACTTATGCAATTTTTGGTGAAATGAGGACAATGGAGTTTACAGAATTTCAAAGGTGGAAAGGACTGCAAATATCATGTGGCCCATTTAATGACTGACCAAAAATCCTATATACCTTATACATACATACACACACATATACATACCTACATACCTACATACTTACATATATATGTATACCTTATACCTATAATATACCTTATAAGTGATCATCCAGCTTTGGCTGAAAGATCTCTTTCTGGTGATAGGCTAGCATGCTGCTGCAGTGTAAGCTAGAGTAAATGCCTTAGTAAAAGCACCTTTATATATCACAGATTCGTTAGTCCAAGTACCATGACCCCCAGGCATAAAGTACCTCTTATTCGCACTGCTATCCTTTAACCTGGATAGACTTCAACCATTTTGTAATTTCATAGATTGTCTTCAAGAATTGCTACGGTTAAAAAGTCCATCGCCCTGCAACTAGCCATATACTAACTGGTCCTCTGAAAATAGACACACAGTAGACCAGTAAGCCCAGTCAAACATCGTACTTTTCAAGCTTTGTTGTACCTACCAGAGCTTCCTCTCTTGGGATGGCCACCTTGTCATAAGGAGGCTTCTTAATGAAGTTGTCATAAGGACCTTAACTCACTAACCCCCAACTCAATTGCCCGTGCTTTTACTAAGCACTTGTTTGTTATGTACTGGGAACGCAAAAACAGAAACAGAAAAAAACCATCTCTACCCTCAAAGAGCTTGCATTACCCGGGGTGAGTGGGGGAAATGGATAGAACATATATGCATACGTAAGTGCAATTCACCTTTAAGAAGGAGAAGGCATTAATAGTTAGGGAGATCAGGAAAGACTTCCCGTAGGAGATGGTTACTCTGAGCAGAGCCTTGAAGGAGGCCAAGGATTTTAAGAGGCAGAAGACAGGAGGATATATATTCTAGGCATGGAGAATGGCCTGATGGAATGCTGAGTTCAAGTTTGGGAAACAGTTTAGTGAGAATGTAGAATCCATGAAGTGAAGTAATATGAAAATGTGAAGCTTGGAAAAGTAGGAAGGGCATCATAATGGTCTTCTGCTCTATTTTTCTTGTTTCGAAAAATGTTCTTGAATTTGTTAAGAATGTTGTTATGACATCCACCAACAATTCACCAAGTCATCTTTTGTTTCTAGGGGAGGACTACAGTAAAGAAAAATTGTGCAGATCCTGTGTGGCACGAACAGATCATCTTCAAAGAAATGTTCCCTCCCTTGTGTAGAAGAGTTAAAATCCAGGTGTGGGATGAAGGCAGCATGAATGACGTGGCCTTGGCAACACACTTCATTGAGCTGAAGAAAATCTCTAATGAGCAGGATGGAGATAAAGGTAATCTGAAATGTGGCCAGTTTCATAGTCAAAGAGGGTCCCTCAAACATCATTGATTTAGGGTTTTTTTCTTTGCAAAATGTAAGGTTGAACTCAGGCATAACAAGATTCCTTCTTGCTCCAACATTTTATTTCTCTATAATTAGTAGGAAAATATATAAGAACAAGGAAAAATGTGTATTGTCTACTGACACTAGAAGTTGTTTTAAGGACAAAAATGCTGTTTTGGATATGAAACTGTTTTGAACAGCATAAAAATGATGGTTTGTATACAAGCATCTAACAGCCTGATTCCTTAACAAAAAAAAAAGGGCATAGCCAGCACATCATGCTGACCCACTTGTGCATTCTCTAAGTATTTACTAAGCACTTATTATTTATTATGTGCTGGGAACACAAAAACAGAAACAGAAAAAAAATCTCTACCCTCAAAGAGCTTACATTCTCCTGGGGTAGGGGGGAATGGATAGAACATATACACGTATAAACTGCTGTAAAAGCTGGTGCTGACCATGGCAAACTGTCATTAGTTACTAGCTCAAAGATACCAAGCTTATACTTTCTTGGCTTTCCTAACTTGGAATCATTGTAACACTTCATTCTCACCCTTAATGTCTGGTCTCTGACTCCTGTACATCAAATTCGTTTAGCATTTCTCATCTCTTACTTGCACCATCTTTGCTGATATGGTGAGTCTATGCCTTCCAATTTATTGTTTGAACCTCCTATACTATGACCACAGTTTTTTTCCCCTCTTATTTATGAGACCTCTCCTTTCTCCCCCTTTGAACTCAATCCCTTGTTGGAGCTTCTGCATTCTCCTTCCATATCCCATATCACATCATGCTGTAATTCCCAACTACCTTCTGTCTTCCAGCATCCTGTTAACCCTTGCCTAGCCAATGCTGTCTTTTGATATTTTTGTATTTTTTATTATTATTGGAGACAGGGACTATTTTCCATTTTGGTTTTAAAGTGCTGTGGTGTCAATAGTAATATTTCAGTCCTTGCTGTAATGTTTACATTCCTTCTGGTCCTAGATGGAATTAAAACTTCCCTTTTCTGTAGCCTAAGTATTTCCAAGTAAATGTCACATTGATTTTGAGGCCTGATTAAAAAATCCAACAAAGCACAATAATCAGTAACACCTCAAACTGCAGATAGCATTTTCTAACGCAGGGAAGAGTGGAGAGCTGAGATTAGGGATCTATAAAGTATGCATATGCCTAAGGCGTAATAAGAAATGCTTTACATGGCATTTACAAAATAAATGCATATACGTTAATGCCATTCTTCAAGGCATGCAGGTATTTTGTGATAAGTCAAGTCACATATATTGCAGTGAAGCCTCAGTGCCTCTGAGTGCCAGCATCACTCTAGGGATCGATTTTCAAACTTTGCTCAAGGCACAAATATGTTTAGTAGAAACTCTAAGTTCTTTTGATTTCTTCGTTCCTGGCCTGATGACTGGCGTTGCCATAGGTACATTAGTCCCTCATGAGCCATCAAATAAAGCAGAAATGAGGAAGGAAAAAATATTGCCTCCTATCCTAGCTCATTTGGACTTAGTCCCGTCAGGTTGAGAGGTGAAAATATGAAGTTCCTTAGCTGGTGGGATTCCATTAGATCAACCCATCCTCCCCACCACCCACCTCTTCATTTCCATGCATAATTTATTCATTCCTTTGTTTTTCTCATATGTGTTCCAGAGAAAGAGGTATAACCTGAAGAATACTAATGATAATGAATGGTTATATATTAAAGATAATTAGATATGGTCAGAAATAGAAGTATGTCTTTCTTTAAGAAATCTCAGGAGATGAATTCATAGCCCCCAAATGCTCTATGAGCTGATTCTTTATTTTAAAAAGGATTTGGCATAGAGTTGCTTTAAATGCCAAGCTTATTACATCTAAAACAGGATTTGATTTACATAAATTTGACTTGTGTGGTATGATAGAAAGGATAAAGGTGTGGCTCTTCCACTGTATGATCTAGGGTACTAGGACACAGGTCACTTCACATTTTTGAGGCTAGGTTTCTTTTTCTACAAAGTGAATTGGATGATCTCAAAGACCCTTTCCAGTTTTAACATTCAATTTCATAATTTAGATATGAAAGCAGCATGGCATATTGAATGGCAGGTCAGACCTGGATTCAAGGTTTGCTTGTAGCTGTTTGTCTATGGGCATGTCACTTCACCTATCAGTGACCCAGAAAACTCCAAGTTTTCTAAGCTGTAAATAAGTGACTCCTCTGTAATAGGGGTGGTGATTTCCATACTGGGAGTTCCCTGCACTAATGAAATCATGGCTCAAAGTTGAAAAACAAGCTGTCTATGCAACTTTTCAACAATCTCTTCATTTTCAAAGCAAGGTTCATCTGCACATTCAGATTTGCCATGTGAATAACATGGGCAGCTAGATGGTGCTATGGATAGCGTGGTGGACCTGGAATAAAAAAGATGTGACTTCAAATCTTGTCACAGACAGCTAACTAGCTATGTAACTCTGCACAGGGGTGACTAGGTGGTACAGTATATAGAGTATTGGGCTGAGAATCAGGAAGACTCATTTTCCTGAGTTCAAATATGGCCTCAGACTAGCTGTGTAACCCATGGGCAACTCACTTGACCCTGTTTGCCTCAGTTTCCTCATCTGTAAAATGAGCTGGAGGAGGAAATGGCAAACCACTCGCAGTACCTGTGCCAAGAAAACCCCGCATGGGGTCATGATGAGTCAGACATGACTGAAATGACTCAACAAGAACAAGACTCTGGACAAGTCATTTGACCTCTGTTTGCCTCAGTTTCCTCACACATTAAATGGGGATAATAATGGCATCTTTCTCCCAGGGTTGCTGTGAGGATCAAATGAGATAACACTTGTAAAGCACTTAGCACAGTGCCTGGCATGTAGCAAGTGCTATACAGATGTTAGCTATTATTATTATTTCTTGTTGTTATCGTTATCATCGTCATCATTTTATGGATCTCCCTAGGTTTCCTGCCCACCTTTGGACCTGCTTGGATTAACCTGTATGGCTCTCCCCGGAACCATAGCCTGATGGACGATTACCAGGAACTGAATGAAGGCTTTGGAGAAGGGGTCTCGTTTAGGGGCCGCATCCTGGTGGAAGTTGCTGTGGAAATCCTCTCAGGTGGGGCACAGGAGTCCAAATTTTCAAAGACCCTGAAGAACCTCAAGTTGTCTAAAGACAAGACTCCCAAAGGCTCGGGGAAGGGCCAGATGGACAAAGCTGAGGATGGAAAAACCCACCCGCCTTCAGATAAGACAAATTCAATGGAGGCCGAAGTAGAGTCCTTCGAAGTACCGCCTGAGGTTCGTCAGAATGAGCTTACGGCTCTAGCGTGTGATACTAAGCATGGCGAAGACCAGCCCTGCAAATACTTATGCAAAGTCATGTGGCTGCACATTTTATTTTCCGCATGGAGTATAAATAAGCTCTTTGGAGGCAGGGACTATTTTCCATTTTGGTTTTGTATGTCCAGCACAATGCCTCGCATATGTTGGGGGTTTAATAAGTATTTATTTGATGGATTAGATTAGATCCAACTAGCAATATAGACAGTGATTGAGTCTTCATTCTTCAACGTCAGCCTTCCTCTTCTCTTTCACATATCGACCATCTGCCCTGGTCAAGTTGTCTCAGACTTCCTTCATAGCTAATAGATTCCCATAGAAACTAAACTAAAAGGAAATAGTAAGAGGAATGTGTGTGTGTGTGTGTGTGTGTGTGTGTGTGTGCGTGTGTAAATATTATGTTTTAACTGGCTTATTCCCTGGTTACTGTCAGACTTTTCCTGATTTCTATTAGATTTTGGAGATAATTAAAAGAGGCATTTTTTTTTTTTTGTGGTTAGGCAGTGGGGTTAAGTAACTTGCTCAGGGTCACACAGCTAGTGAGTGTTATGTGTCTGAGGCTGGATTTGAACTCAGGTCCTCCTGAATCCAGGGCCGGTGCTCTATCCACTGTACCACCTAGCTGCCCCAAAAGGGACATTTCTTTTACCATCCTATACAGGATGAGGACTGAGGTTGGAGAGATATACCAAGCAAGAGCAAGCTGGGGATATGAGAAACCAATTTTTTCCCTTTATCCCTCGAAGTTGTGAGAGCAAGTGAATCCTGATTAGAGGTGGGATGAGGAGAGAGATGGTCATCTTACACTTTCCTGTTCTCCACTGAGGCAGTGTGGTACAGTAAATAGCGTGCTGGACTTAAAGTCAGAAAGACCTGGGTTCAAATCCGTCCTCTGACCCCTACTGGCCATGTGATCTCTCTAAGTCTGTTTCCACACCTGTAAAATGAGAATGTGAGACAAGACGGTCTCTAAGATTGCTTCTGACTCTGATTCTATGATTCTACTATGACATACGGAAGGTTGCCTTTTCCCAGGTCAACTGGTACAAAAACAGATTGAAAGGTCAGTGATGGGTAGTCTTGTAAATTGCTGGTCACCATTTTAGCTTAGATACAGTGATTCATAAAATAAACCACATTTCACAGTCTTTCTATAGCAGTTGAAGAGAAACCTCCAAACTATGGCCTCTATCCCTTTGGTTTGATTTCATCTGACCTTCTACTAAACATTGCTTTTGCTGCCTACACAATCTTTCTCTCTATCCACAGTGTCATAATATTTACACACACACACACACACACACACACACACTCCCCTTACTATTTCCTTTTAGTTTAGTTTCTATGGGAATCTATTAGCTATGAAGGAATTCTGAGAGAACTTGGCTAGAACTTGACCTAGCCATAGATGGTACAATAGATAGTGCTGGGGGCAGGTAGGTGGTGCAGTGGGTAGAGCACCGGCCCTGGAGTCAGAAGGACCTGAGTTCAAATCCAGCCTCGGACACATAACACTCACTAGCTATGTGACCCTGGGCAAGTCACTTCACTGCAATTGCCTCACCAAAAAAAAAAAGATAGATAGTGCTAGGTGTGGACTTGGAGTTAGAAAGACCTGAATGTAAATCCTGCCTCAGACACTTACTAGCTGTGTGATTGTGTGACCCTGAGCAAGTCATTTAACCCTTCTCAGCCTCAGTTTCCTCATCTGTACAATGAGAATAATAATAGAACCCATAGTAAATGTTGTTGTGAGGATCAAATGAAATAACAAGCAAAGTACTTTGTAAACCTTAAAGTACTATGTAAATACTATTGTGATTATTATTATTAATGAAAGATATTATCTAGACTTTCCTATTGATTTCACCATTTCTGACAGTTGTCACTATTTAGTTACCCATGTTTGAAACTTCGATATTTTCTCCTTGACTCTTCTCATGCCTTCTTCTCTCATATGGAATTACCAAGTTCTGTTAATTGTCCTTTGAAACCTCTTCCATTCCTGGCCTTTCTCTGTTCCCTCTATAATCCTGTGCTCACCTCATTATTTCCCTATTTTAGTCACCTTCTTATAGGTCTTCCTGTGTCCATTTCCCCCCCTCTAATAGAAATCTCATTCACTTCCAAGGCTTTTGCAAAGAGTTAATTGTATTGCTCATCTGCTCAAAAAATTCTTCAGTGGCTCCCCATGAAAAACAAGGACTCCTTTGCCTTGGACACAAGAATTTCTAGAATCTTGTACTACTCTAGTGTTCAACCTTAATTCCTTATTATTCCCTTACCCATACTCCATGCTGTGTCCGAAATGGTCTATTCTTTCTACCCTTTACTTTGATGTTCAAGAGGCAGCTATATGGTGCGCTCAGCCTCTGAAAGAGTTTAGTTCAATCTGGCCTTAGACACTTCCTAGTTGCATGACATTGGGCAAGTCATTTAACCTATTTCTGCCTTAACTTCCTCATCTGCAAAATGAAGGTAATATTAATACTTACTACATAAGGTGGTTGTGAGGATCAAATGAGGTAATATTTGTAAAGCAATTAGCACAGCACCTATCACATAGTAGGTGATTTAATATGCTTCCTTTCTCCCTCCCCCTCCCTCTCTTCTTTCCTTTTCTTCCTTCCCTCCTTTCTTTCTTCCCCTTTTTTCCTCCTTCTCTTTCCTTCTTTCCCTCCTTTCTCCTTTGTCCTTTTCTTTCCTTTCCTTCCTTCTATCTTCCTTCCTTCTTTCCTTTCTCCCTCCCTTTCTTCTTCTTTTCATTCTTTCTCTCCCTCCTATTCACCCTTCACAGGATTCTGTAAAGTTTCTTTAGCCTAAACCAGGATAGTGGCCATAAGTGGAAAGAAGGGGATGGATGAACAAGATGTAGAGGTAGAATTCATAAGATTGGGTAAGTGGTGTGATGGAGAATAGAGATGAAGATGATACCAAAGTTGCAATCCTGGGCAGCTAGAGAAATACTTTCTTCTGTATGAATGGCTAAGTTGGAAAGAGTGATGACTTAGGGGACAGATAAGGAGTTACATTTGAGCTAGGTTTAGTTGGCCATGCCATCTAGTCTGAAATATCCAACAGATAGTTGGTTATAGGTTACTAGAGGTCATGGAGGGGACTAGGGCTGGATATAGCTTTAGCAGCTAAGTGATGCAATGGATAGAACACTGGCCCTGGAGTCAGGAAGACCTGAGTTCAAATCTAGCCTCAGACATTTTCTAGCTGTGTGACCCTGGGCAAGTCACTTAACCTTGTTTGCCTCAATTTCCTCATCGTTAAGATGAAGGAAATGGAAACCACTCCAGTATCTTTGCCAAAGAAACCCCAAATGGGGTCACAGAGAGTCAGACATGACTGAACAACAACTTACTCTTACCAAGACAATGTTAGACAGTCTTAGTCACCCACAAATTTGTTCTCTTATTTTAAGGATGTCTTGAAATACAATTTTAATTAGGACTAAAACATATCTTCTGGGATGGGATTCAAGTGACCTACTTGGCTGAAACACCCACTAAGGCATCAGGATTTTCCAGAAATGCCCAGAGCTGCTGTGACAACAATTAGGCTCTCCCACCATCAGAGCCAAGAATAAGAAAGCTCTTCTTGGACCTGCAGATGGCTAAAATCAGCTCATACCTAATTTGGGACTTAGTACAAGACTGTAGTCACTGTGGTTGTTGATAAATACTATGCTGACAGATGGGTTCATCTGAAAATGAATCCTAACATTCTCCGGGATTCTGCTAGAGATAGATAGAGGGGCCTTGTCTTTGGGCCGTTATCTCCCGAGACTGTGTTGTTGTTTTTTCAATAGGTCTGGCATCTCCATTCTTATTAGCTTAGATCTGTACCAAGAGAGGCAGCATAATATAGTGTAAAGGGGTTTGGATTTAGAAGCAGGAAGACCTGAATCATGCAGTTAACCATGGCATTACTTAGTCAGGCGCCATCCCAACTCACCTTGCTGTAGCCGACTCCGCAGCATGCATCTGTGATAGCCTTTCTATCTCATCAACTGAAAGTTATGTTTTTCCCCAGAAAGTTTCCTAGGTCATTTTGCCTGGTTATCTCTCACAGCTCCATGATAATGTAGCTTGTATTATGCTTTGTTGCAAATACATTGTATTCCTCAGGAAAATCTAAGCACTCTCTTTCCCTAACCCCTTATCTTCCCTTTCCCTTTCCCTCATTCTCTTCTTCTCCCTTCCCCTCCCTTCCATCCCTCCCTCTGTCCTTCCCAGTGTTTAGGGAGGTGGGAGAGAGAGAAAAAAAATAATGCTAGATAATTGAAAAAAAATTAGTTAAAGAAGAAACCATAGGAAATAAATGCGCCAAAATGAAACATTAGATATGTATATGTGTGTATATATGTATACATGCACACATGCACACACACATACACACAGACACACACACACACACACACACACACATATATATATATATATATATTTTTTTTCCCCTTTAACTGATTTAACTCAGATGAACTTGTACCTTATTTTAAAATAAGGTAAGTAAGCTATTTTAAGGGCAAACCTTAGAAGGTGATAATTAGTTCTTCTATCTATCATAACATGTTTAGATCAGAAATTTTATCTTTCTTTTTAAACCTACCCCTCTTTCTAACTTCCCTGCCTTCAAATTAAACACACATACATGTATACACACACAAGTACACCCAAACATACACACACACATGCATGCATGCATGCATACATGTGCACATGCCTTCACTTAAGTTCTCCCTGCCTGAATTTCCTCCTAGAAAAAATGAGGGGAATTGGACTATTGATCAACAAGGTTCTTTGGCTCTAGTTCCCATGATTCTCTATAGTATTGACTACAACAAATCACACTAATGGGCACTTACTGTGATGCAAAACAGATTAAGAGTCATTTATTCATTCAACAAAAAACATATTGAGATCCTACTGTGTTTAAGGTTCTGTTAGGTGCTGCAGCTTGGTCTTCAGAACTGAAGTTAGGCCTGAAACAATTCAGATCAACAGCTCCATTTGGATCAGTTGTCTGCTCTCACTTTGTGCTAAACATAGGCATAGTAAAATGCCATTATCAACTAATATAATAATTCATCTGTAAGTTATGTAGGATCAATGCTTGAATACTGGAATCAGGTAAAACATTGCTAATCCAGCTTCCTGGAAGAAAAACAAATCCATAAAACAAACAAACAAAAACCCCAAGCCAATATTACTGAATATATGTTATTTCTTCTATAGATTGTACCAGAAAAATATGAAGATTTCCTACTCTTTGGAGCATTTTTTGAAGCTACCATGATTGACAGGAAAATTGGAGACAAACCTATCAGCTTTGAGGTTTCTATAGGTAAGTCTGGCCTAGTTCCTCTTATGACAAAGATTAGTTTAATATAGATAGCCATATGTTACTGAAACCAATAACTCTTCTCTGTAATGGTGTGTGATTAGGTAGAGGAAAATTTTAACTCCACTCTTTAGTAGGAAAATAAAACAAAGACCCCCAAAAAATACTGAAGAAAATAACACCTTAAAAAATAGCCTAACCCAAATGGCAGAAGAGGTCCAAAAAGCCAATGAGGAGAAGAATGCCTAAAAAAGCAAAACTGACCAAATTGAAAAGGAAGTCCAAAAACTTACCGAAGAAAGCACTTCCTTAAAAATTAGAATGGACCAATTGGAAGCTAGTGACTTTATGAGAAATCAAGACACTGTCAAACAAATCCAAAAGAATGAAAAAATAGAAAATAATGTGAAATATCTCATTGGAAAAACAACTGACCTGGAAAATAGATCCAGGAGAGAGAATTTAAAAATTATTGGACTATCTGAAAGCCATGATCAAAAAAAGAGCCTAGACATCATCTTTCAAGAAATTATCAAGGAAAACTGCCCTGATATTTTAGAACAGAAGGCAAAATAGAAATGGAAAGAATCCACTGATCACCTCTGGAAAAAGATCCTCAAAGGAAGACTCCTAGGAATATTGTAGCCAAATTCCAGAGTTCCCAGGTCAAGGAGAAAAAACATTGCAAGCAGCCAGAAAGAAACAATTCAAGTATTGTGGAAACACAGTCAGGATAATACAAGATTTAGCAGCTTCTATATTAAGTGACCACAAGGCTTGAAACATGATATTCTGGAGGGCAAAGGAGATAGGATTACAACCAAGAATCATTTACCCAGCAAAACTGAGTATAATCCTTCAGAGGAAAAAAATGGTTATTCAGTGAAATAGGGGACTTTCAAGCATTCTTAATGAAAAGACCAGAGCTGAATAGAAAATTTGACTTTCAAATACAAGACTCAAGCAGAACATGAAGAGGTAAACAGGAAAGAGAAATCATAAGAGACGTATTAAGGTTGAACTGTTTATATTCCTGCATGGAAAGATGATGTAATTCATGAGACCTTTTTCAGGATTAGGGTAATTTGAGGGAAAAAAATTATATGTATGTATATAGATAGATAGATAGATAGAGGGCACAAGGTGAGTTGAAGATGAAGAGGTGATATCTGGAGAATAAAATTAAGGGATGAGAGAGGATTATACTGGGAGAAGGGGAAAGGGAGAGGTAGAATAGGGTGAATTATCTCACATGAAACAGACAAGAAAAGGCTTTTACGGTGGAGGGGAAATGGGAGAAGGTGAGAGGGAATGATTGAATCTTATTCTCATAGGATTTGGCTTAAGGAAGGAATAACATACACACTCAATTGGGTATGGAAATCCATCTTACCCTAGGGGAAAATTGGCGGGGGGGAAGGGGCAAGAGAGCAGGGAGATGATAGAGGGGAACGCAGATTGGGGGAGGGAGTAATCAGAAGCAAACACTTCTGGGGAGGGACAGGGTCAAAAGAGAGACTAGAATAAATGGGGGATGGGATAGGATGAAGAGAAATATACTTAGTTTTTCACAACATGACTGCTATGGAGGTGTTCTGCATGACTGCAGATGGATAACGTGTATCAAGTTGCTTGCCTTTTCAATGAGGGCGGTTCGGGAGGGAGGAAGGGAGAAATTTGGAACCCAACAAAACCCAAAGTTTTAAAAACACCTATTAAAAAAATTGTTTTCACATGCAACTGGGAAATAAGAAATACTGGAAATGGGGTATAGAAATCTATCCTGCCCGATAGGAAAATAGAAGGTGAAGGGGATAAGAGAAGGGGGGAGAGATAGAAGGGAGGGCATATTAGAGGAAGGGGTATGCAGAATGCATGCCATCTTGGAGTGGGGGGAGGGATCAGATGGGTAGAAAATTTGGAACTCAAAATCTTATGGAAGTGAATGTTGAAAGCTAAAAATAAATAAATTTAGAAAAGAAAAGAAAAAAGAAAGAAAAAGAAAGAAACTTAGAACCTCTAAAAATCAGTTTGTTCTTAGAGGAAGGTATTTTTTGCACACTTGATTAATAAAGTTAAAAAAAAAAAGAAAACAAAATATCATTTCATGAACTTCTTGCCAGAGTAAGCTCCTTTATTTTGGCCTATCATTTCTGAGATGGGATTTTAGACCAAAGACAGATTAGGAGATGGCTTTCTTCACATAGACTTAGTGGAATTTTGCTTAGTCATTCTGAAGCTTCAAGGCTTAATTCGTTTCAAGGCAAATTTTGTGCCGGGCATTGTCTAGGTGCCAGGAATAGAAAAAGACAAAAAGGAAATAGAAAGCCAGCAGTATATACCATATATAGTCAATTGAAAGAGATGCTACCTGGCCTCAAGGAGCTTACTATCTACAGGGGGTGATTTTAACCTTACAATCTCAATTATTTTGCGCAGCCAATATAGCTTGGAGACTTCAGATTGATGCCCATTCTTGATATTTATGGGAGAAAACTCAAAACTTGTTCCTTTCCTGCATTTCATCAACCAGTTATCTTAAATCTGGACAATTATAGAGAACATTGACCTTGCTGCCTCTCCTGTTCTTAATTTCCTTTTTAAAGGTAACTTTGGAAATCTGATTGATGGAGGTTCTCACCGTAGGAGTAAGAGGAAATCTTCAGAAACATCAGAAGAGGAGAATGTGCCTCTGCTTCAGGAAGGCAGGGCTGACTCTGCCCATGGCATTGCCATCCCTTCCATGTCCACCACACAACCTGAGAAGCCCCTGGTGACAGAAGGGAACAGGTGGGGAGTGTCAGCCTTGATGATTAGTCTATGCTTCTGGGTCAGGCTCCAGGCCTTCCACTGCAGCAGTGTGATTTGACAGTTCCCTCATGCCACCAGACACAGCCCAGTGTTCCGAGAATGAGTTAATCTACGAGTATTCTCTACTTTAATAGCTTACCAAAAGCTCATTGAGTGGAAACAGGCAGGCAGCACATTTAAAGGTGTAATCATAATGACTAATGTAATGATACTGTTCACTTACGGAGCCTTTTCATTCAGGCATTTCAAAGGCTAACAAGACCCTAAGTAGATTCACAGAATCACAGGACTAGGAAATCTTTAGGGCTTCTTCCAGCTCCAAGAATCTGTGAACTTGTGATTTTAACTTTTAAGCTAGAAGGGACCTTAGAGATCATCTAATGAGAACATAGATAGATAGAAAGACAGATATAGGCATAAATAGGTATGTATAATATATACACATGTATGTATTATACATATCTTTTTAAATATTAAGGTGTTTTATTCATGCCAGTTATTATTATTATTATTATTATCTAGTCAGAATTTTTCATTTGAGAGAAGAAAAATGAGACCCCAAGAGGTCTGATCCAATCTAATCCAGTCCAATGAACATTTATTTAGTGTCTAATATGTTCAAAGCACTGGAGATACAAAGACAAAACCAGAAGATGGTCTCTACCCTCAAGAAGCCTATGTTCTCTGGAGAAAACTACAACATATAATTAGATGTGTATTTGCATGATAATTTGAGGAAGGAGGAGGCACTAGCAACTAGGGGCATTAGGAAAGACTTCAAAAAAAAATTAATTGTCCCCTGGATTGAGCCTTCAAGGAAACTGGTGTGTGGGACAGCTATCCTTATTTCCAATAAATTCAGAGGCTTCTCCAGGTAGAAGGCAGAAAGGAATTTTTATTGCACAAGAAAGGGAGACCCGCACTGAAAAACCTCTCAGTGTCAGGGCGTGCCGAACATAGATACAGCAGGTTTTTTTATAGGTCCCTATCGCAACTCCCCTCCCTAACCTCCTTCCTCTTAGACCATAGTTACAGGCCTTGAGGGTACATTCTAGATGCGATAAAATCTTCTCGGGGACAGTAGCAGATAAGCAGATGTGGTTATCTTGCAATGTCCTTATTCTACAAACCCCTGTGAAATTCCTGAGTTCCTTTGTTTCTGTCCCATGGACAACCATTTGTTTTCACAGTTAGATATAACATCTTATATCTTATGAGTTTAGGTTTCATGGGAGGTCTTCACTACATTCCATTCACTGGGGCTAAATAAAATGGTTTGAAAGAAAGAGGAAAAGAATTTTAAGGAGGAAAATTTGATTAATTTGAAGTTTGATTAAATATTTGTAAGAATTTCTTCATTCTGATAAATCTGGAAAAGACTTTAGACTGGAGGCATATTTATTTCTTAATTATTTCAATTGCAGAACTTGATGTTTCTACGAATGACCCAGGTCCATTCTCCATCCCTGCCCCTTTCCTACTATATGCTCAGGTGTTGGAGATACAAAGGCAAAACTGAAATATACCTTTCCCTCAAGAAGCTTACATTCTATTTGGTAAACAACATATACATTCATATATGTAGATAGAAAATGCAGAGTATCCCAAAAGTCTTAGTGCAGTTTTAAGCTTTAATTGCTTGGAGCCTACATGAAGCCTTTCCTAAGCAATTAAAGCTTAAAACTGTAAGATTTTTGGGACACCCTATATATGCAAGGTACATTTTTCAGGGGAGAGTGCTAATAGCTCAGGGAATCAAGAAAGGTTTCATGTAGAAGGTAGAGCTTGAGCAGAGTTTTGAAGGAAATAACAGATTCTAAGAGGCAAAGGTGAGGAGGGATTGCACTCTAAAATACTTTCATGGTGCAAAGGACCTACATAAGCTGTGGGGGCATTTTCTCACTTTCTTGACTCATAATCTCTACCTAGAAATTTAGGGAAATTGTCACAATTCCCCTCCCTCCACCACTATTGTGAGACTGACTTTCTATTTTCAAGAGTGCAGGTAATTCACACCAAAGAAGACAGCATATTTTAAAGGAGGGAAATGAAACAGAGCCCCTAGAATGAGTGATCATTGGTACCCAAAAAATAAAGATTTATTAAGCATCTATTATATGCCAGTCACTGTGGCAAATTCTAGGCCTACAAAGAAAGACAAAAGATAATCCCTGCTCTCAAGGAGTTCAAGGGGAGACAATATGAAAACAACTATGTAGGAAGGAGCTATACATTGATAAATTGGAGATAATCAGCAGAGGGAAGGCGCTAGAATTAAGGAGGATTGAAACTCGCTTATAATTTAGAAAAAGAGGGGGCTCCTCTGGTAGTTTTCCTACCAAAGCCTACTTTGATCTACTATTCTTTGCTATCCCAGGGGAACAGAAGACGGGGTGTTGGTCCTTTAACTTTATCATTGCCCCATGTATGCACAGTCAGCCAACCCACTAGTTTCTCAGTCAAGTGAGAGTGAACTTTTCAAGTCCTGTTATTTTCAAATTCATTTCTTTCATACAACATGAAGGCCAACCTCCTGAGTTATCCTCTCCCCCTTGGTTGCCACCATAGTGCCCTTGTAGATCTCTCCTTTTTTCTTTTCTAATTTTCTCTACTTTCCATCTCCATGTATTACCACATATCTTGAGACAGAAATCCTATCCTTCCCAGTTACTGAAACCAGAAAAGGGGAAACCATCCCAGCACTGGCTGTTGAATAATCCAAAGAAATATTAGAACCCAGTGAAATCCCCTTGGGAATTTATTTAATCACAGGAATCTCAGGGTAATCATTTTAACTGAGATAGCACAAAGATAGCGGTTTGGTCCCAGACCTTTTCTCCTTCTGATGAAATAACAAACATCAATTTCTGCCAAGAATCTATTTGGCTCCTCTTACAATAGATCAGGTATCTGTTGGGCTATTATCCTGTAGAACAGACTGCAGGGGCTTCTTTGCTAATTTTATTGTTTCCCTTGGAAGGAATTTGTGCTGGAGAAAACCTGAAGACCCTTCCAAGATGAAATTTGTTCTTCAGCTTTCCAAAACAGAGGGAAAAAGGATGAGTCTCCTAATGAATGTACCATTCACATTTACTAATTCATGTTTCCCATTCCTACCATCCTACTAATTCACATTCTTTGAGTTCAGTTCTAATTGTTTTTCTGGCCTGCCATGCTGCTTTCTTCTCTTCACTAGACTCTTCTCTGTGTGTCTCTGGGGTTCATGCCCCAGGAAGAGGGATATCGTCTTCCCCTTTCTCCAGCTGTCTTAGAAGGGTAGATCAAACAGGGACCTTAGAGATCACTTAATCCAATGTCCACATTTTACTGAGGAGGGGCCAGAGTCTCAGAGAGGAGAAATGATTTGTCCAGCAGAACTTGGACCAGAATCTATGTCTTCTAACTCAAGTCAGCATTCTTTCTACTGTATTGTGTTCCCCTCAGACATTTCCTTTAGGGTCCAGTTAAATATTAAACTCTTGAAAAAAAAGCCTTTCCTGACTCACATTATTCCACCTGGATCACATGCCTTCTTCCAGCACTTCTGTTGATGATTCATGCCAGGCTTGATACGGAAAAGTATAATATAGAGGAAATACCACTGGATTTAGAATCAGGAATGAAGATATAGCAAGGGGAAGGAAGTGTGATCTTTGTCCCAGGATGCCAAAATGCAGAGAGTATTGACAGCATTTATACTCCCTTAGCAATGGAGAAGCAATTGAGTTTAGGACTCAGTGAGGATAATTAATTTTTATTTATTTATTTATTTTGGGAGGTAATCGGGGTTAAGTGACTTGCTCAAGGTCACACAGCTAGTAAGTGTCTCATGCTCTATTTGAACTCAGGTCCTCCTGACTCCAGGCCCAGTACTCTATCTGCTGTGCCGCCTAGGTGCCCCCAAAATAATTCATTTTCAAAGGAACTTATCAGATGATGAGCGCTCTTTCTCTCTCCACCTGTGATAGTAGAGTAGTCTTACTGTGTTCCAAGTGTCTATTGATCATCCACCTCAACTGAATTTACCTTTTTAAAAAATTAATTTGACAGTACTTATGTTTCTTGCAAATTCGAGTCTTAGCCCCCCCCCCCACCAAAATGCTAGTAACTACTTGGCTTCATATCCTAGAATCATCACTTACCAGCTGTATGACCTTGGATGAGTTATTTTTATCTGTTTGAGCCTGTTTCTGTCTTTATAGAATGAAGATCATAATACCTGCCCTACCTAACTCACAGGCTTGGTATGAGGATTAAAAGGATTAAATGTGATAATGCCTGTAAGGACTTTGTGACCCTTAATGCATTATAAAAAGTCATCTATAATTATTGGAGTTGTTATTCTTTTTGCCTCCTGAATGTTACTTATTAATTTCACACTCCTCTATCCCCATTCAATGTCCAAAGAATGAGCACTCCATCTATTGTTCTTGGACAAATCCCTGAAAGTAGAAGGCATGTAGCTTTTTGTTGTTTTTGTTCAGTCATTTTCAGTTGTGTCCAACTCTTTGTGACCCCATTTGGAGTTTTCTTGGCAAAAGATACTGGAGTGGTTTGCCATTTCTTTCTCCAGCTCATTTTACAGATGAAGAAACTGAGGCAAACAGTGGTAAGTGACTTGCCAGGGGCCACATAGCTAGTAAGTGTCTGAGGCTGGATTTGAACTCAGGTCTTCCTGACTCCAGGTCTGGCCCTCTATCTAGTATGTCACTTAGCTGCCCATGACAAGTAGCTAAATTGTTTTGATAAGAGCAATTCAATGTTGAATCTTTAAGGACAGATTTTGTTTTATTTTGTCTTTGTATCTCTAGTTCCTAGCACACAGGAGGCACTTGATACGTGCTTACTGAATCAAAAACCAAAATTTTATAAGCATTTTAAGATTTACAAAGCAATTTACATTTGTTATCTTACTTGAGTCTCGTCAGGCAAATAATACAGGTATTACTATCCCCATTTTAAGGATGAGAACACTGAGGCTCAAAGAGATGAAACTACATTCCCAGACTCACAATAATTATTCAGTGTCACAGACGGTATATGAACCCAGGCTTCTTCTGACCCCAGGTCCAACGTTCTTTCTATTATGATACTTTTCTTTTCTGAATCCTGCTCATTCTTAACCAGCTACAATGTGCAATGTCTTTCACAGGAATTATCATTACTTGCCATTTGAGGCCAAGAAGCCATGTGTCTACTTCATGAGCTCATGGGGAGATCAGACCTTCAGGCTCTATTGGTCCAATATGCTGGAAAAAATGGCTGACAGCCTAGTAAGTGCTTTTGATGGGGTGAGGTCTTTAAAATGAGTGAAGAACCAGGGGGACAGGAAACATTTTTCAGCTACCCAGAAGAGAGTCTTGGCTTGAGTTTCACCAAACATTTACTGAGATTGCACATTTTGGCAGAGTTCCTCTTTATTCCACCCACCCTCAGCCCCCTCCCCCTTGCTCCAATCCTTCAACTTAATCTAGGAACAAGAAATTTCTTTTATGAAATGTAAAATTTCCTCCAAGATTGAGGGCTCTAGATCTGTGGGCTACAGTTTAAAGAACTGAGCTCTTTTGACACAAGGCCAACTCCAAGATCACTCTAAGACATGGAGTCTTTCTTTGACATCTTCAGCCTCTACTTTCTGTTACTTACCTCAACTTAATATTCAGTTGTGAAGCAGTATTTTACCATGAAATAGTAATTTTTATCAATATGCTCCCTGTCTATACATATTTGGACTTTCATTCCTCATTTTCTAATGAAAGGCTTTGTCTCTTTTAAATAGAATTTCAGGCATCAGTAAACAGATGGGGCAGAGGGGCCTTTTCCTTCTGTTAAATTATGCCTAGCTACTTGGCAGATGGCTTCATCTATGTGTAAGGCTAGTTCTTCTATTTTGGGCAAATATGTTTCTAAGAGTACTGATTCAATTACATTTAAATATTTATTGTTGTTGGTGTTGGTCTGTCATTTTTCAGTCATGTCCAACTCTTTGTGACCCCATTTGGGGTTTTCTTGGCAAAGATACTGGAGTAGTTCGTCATTTCCTTCTTCAGCTCACTTTACAGATGAGGAAACTGAGATAAAAAGGTGAAATAGCTTGCCTACAGTAGCACAGTTAGTAAGTGTCTGAGTCTAGATTTGAACTGAGGAAGAGGAGTCTTTGTGATTCCAGGTTTGATATTCTAATGACCTAGAGCAATCCTTTTATTCTCTTCCTGACTCCAGGCCTGGCTCTATCCACTGTGCCACCTAGCTGCTCTATTTATACTTATTACACATTGTGTATTCAGCATGGTACTAGCTTGGGGAAATACAGAGTTTAAATAGGACAAGGTCCCTTCCCTCATGGAGCTTTCATTCTTGAAGGAAAATATAGCAGCAACTAGGGGCAGATAAGTGGTACAGTGGATAGAAAACAGGGATTGCAATCAGAAGACGAATTCAAATCTTATCTCAGATACTTAATTAGTTGTGTGACTCCAGGTAAGACACTTGATCTCTTTTTGCCTTAGTTTCTTCATCTGTAAGGTAGGGATTATAATAGCAACTACCTTGAAGGGTCATTTTGAAATCAAATGAGTTAACACACACAAAGTGCTTGATAAACCTTAAAGCTCTATAAAAAATGCTAGCAATTAAATATATATTAATTATACATATACACATGTGCACACATATACTATATGTGTGTGTGTGTATACATATATAATGTATATATATATGTGTGTGTGTGTGTGTGTGTGTATATATATACACACACATAGTATATATCATACCAAATCTTCCATAAGTACAGGGAAGTAAAACGATATATTACAAAGAGAACCTGGGGTTTAACTCCCAATTCTGCTGGTCACTACCTGTGTGATTGTTGGTAAGTCATTGAAATTCTCTGAACTTCAGTTTCCTCTTTAAAAAATGAGGAAATTGGATAGCTCAAATTTTCTGATTCCTCCTAGTGTATTTTCCTAGTTCGTAAGTAAGAACTGAAGCTATGATGTCAGAAGAATTCAGCAAGGGAGAAAATGTAGGGAGAAAAGAGCTCCCAGGACAAAACTTGAGGAGAAGCCAGCCTTGGGGATGGGGTCATGGGGAGAGAGGGTGGGTAGGAGATAAATAACGATCCAACAAAAGAGACTGAGAATAAATGATCAGGCAGGATCTGAGAACCAGCCTACCAACCAATCAATAAACATGTATTGAGCACCTATGGAAAAGAGTCATAGAAGCCAGGGGAAGAATATGGTAGGGTGGTAGTCAATAGTATCAAAAGCTTCAGAAATTAAAAAAAAAAAAGAAGAGGACTAAGAAAAGAGGACCGAATTTTGAAATAAAGCAATCTTTGCAATTTTTGGAGAATGCAGTTTTAGTGGAGTATTAAAGTTAAGAAGTGAAGGAGTAGCAATTGTGAGTATAGATGACTTTTTCTAGGAGCCCGGTAATTAAAGGAAGGGGAGATATAGGAAGATAGCTTGAGGGGATGGGAGGGTTAAGTGAAGGCTTTTTAAGGTTGGGGAAGGTTCCAGCAAGTTTGTAGAAGGAATGAACTATGTATGGCCTGGAAGTGCCTGGAAGAAACAGGACAGGTTTGGATCAAATTGGACTTCTATTTGCGTCCCCAATGCCTAGCACAGGGTCTGGTCCTTATGGTGCATAATAAGTGTTGTATGCTAATTGAGTAATTAATTAATTAATATCTAGTGCAGGACAGCCCCAGGTATAAAAAGCCTGGGGAACGTCCCTCTCCAACTTGGTATCTCATAAAATTAGACAAATGCAACATAAGTGATCATAGCAGGTGACAGGTAAGACCTATCTGAAGCAACTCATGAGTTTTTCCTTTGCTTTTCGTTTTCAGGAAGAAAGTATAGAAGAAGTCAAAGAACTGATCAAAGTTTCAGAGGAGGAGTCAGAAGAGAAAATAAAGGCTGCTCTCAACTACTTTATCAGTCAAAGCAGGTACTTAAGAGAAGTGTCCCTATTTAATTAATTGGAAATTACAGAGCAGGTTGGGGGGCAGGGAGATGAAAACAAAATAAAACCTCTTCTGAGAAATGTGTTTTAAATTACCTGGAGAAACTGGCTAACTATGCAGTCAAAGTTGCAACTTGACAATTTTAAATTCCTCATCACTCTATAGATTTTTTTTTTTACAGTGCAACAAGATAGTAACAAAATTTCTTTCTTTATGTTTCCTTCTGCACTTTTTTAGTTATTCTGCATGTTTTCTTTTTATTAATTTATTTTTTATTTATTTATTTTTAAAGCACAGAGATTTTTAAAATTCTTTTTCAAGTCCAAATTTCCTCCCTTCTCTCTCCTCTCATTCTTGAAGGCAAGAAAAATAAAATCTATTACAAGTATTATAGTCATGCAAAGTAAATTTCCATATTAACCATGTTCAGAAAAAAAAGGCAAGAAAGAGAAAAAAATGCTTCAATCTGCACTCTGAGTCATCAGTTACCTCCTTGTTCTTAAACAATTGAAGCAAAAGTTAAACCTCATAGACCTTTCTCAAACAAACTTTAGTAAATTCAATGATTCTTATCCATGGGAGTGCTTCCCTCCACTGATATACAGACTTTTCTTTAACCTTCTCTTTTTTTCTTGATAACTTTTATTTTAGCAAAACAGTATCATTATTTTCTAATACCTCCTTTTCCTCTCCTCCGATCTATCCTCCAGCCTAAGCAGGCTCTTCCCACCACAAAGAAAAACAGCTAAGCAAAGGCAATAGGGTAGCTGTATATGATAGCATTTGCAGCATTCTGAATCCAGAGCCTCCACCTCTCCCAGAAAATGGAGAAATACAATTCTTTATCTCTTTTCCAGGGCTAAGATTAGTCATTAATAGCTAACACACACACACATACACACACACACACACACACACACGTATGTATATGTATATATTTGTATATGTACATGTATATATATGTGTGTATGTGTGTGTGTGTGTGCGCGTGTGTATGTATGTATATGTGAGGGGGCACTTCAAAGTTTGTGAAGCACTTTACATAGATGATCTCATTTGAGCTCCAAATAGCCTGCGAGGTATACCAATCTTATGGATAAGTTCTGTAAAACATTAAGCTCCTCCACCTATTCACCTCCCATGATCTACTCTTTCACCCCATCTCACTTACACACAAAGATGGTCAGACTTGGATCTTGCTATCACCCACAAATGTACCATCTCTATGTTCAAGAGTTCTGAAATCCCCTTATCTGACCATAATCTATTGGCCTTCCACCACTCTTTCTGCCTTCCCAAACCAAGCCCTTGTTTGTCCCTCCAAACCCTCCTTGATCTGTCAGCTCTCTCAAGCCATTGCCCCGGCACAAAGCACTCTTGTCTCTTTTCTTCTTCATGACCATCTGGTGAACAAGTTTAACTTTACAGTGTCCTCTTCTCTCGAGTCTTCCAAATCCTCAAAACAAAACAAAACAAAATCATTTTGCCAATTATGGCTTGGACCACTTTCAATACCCACTGCCTTTGTTACTATACATATGTTGCTGAACAGAGGTAGAGAAAAATCACATCACCATTTTGACAGGATCTACCACAGATTTATGTTACATAACCTCAAGTGGGTCTTCACTGCCACCAGGCTATCCTACTCTACCTCCCTTATCAGTTCACTACCCCACTTTCCACATCGGCTCTTCCAAATCTTTTCACCCCTTTTCAAAGCTCTCATGGCTCTCCCTCTGCTCTCTCAGCTGAGGACCTTGCCTCATATTTTACAGAAAAAAAATTGAAGCCATTTGCCATTAGCTCCCTCCTTTCTCTTCTTCCTCATATCATATCACCCTGCCTTCTGCCACTATTTCTTCCTTCACTCCATCTCACATGAAGAGGCGGATCCTTTCCTTGCCAAGGCAAACCTTTCTTCTTGCACAAGTGATCCTATCTGGTATTCTCCAATAAACTTCTCTCTCTGTCATCCTCACTCTCTTTCTTAGCTTTATCTTTCCCAGTCTACTAGTTTCTTCTCTATTGCCTACAAATATGCTAAAATCTTCTCCATCTCAAAAAACTCCTCATCTGATCCATCCATCCCCACTATCTTCCTATATCTCTTCTCCATTTGTGGCAAAACTCCTTGAGAAGGCTGTCTACAATAGAAACTTTTACTTCCTCTCTTCTTAACCCTTTACAATCCAGCTTCTGACCTCATATTTCCACTGAAACCACTCTCTTTAAAGTTACCAATGATTTCTTAATTGACAAATCCAATGGCCTTTTCTCAATTTTCATCCTTCTTGACCTCTCTGCAGCCTTCGGCACTGTTGATCACCTTTTTCTCTTTGATATTCTCTTCTCTTTAGGTTTACAGAACACCACTAGTTCCTGGACTGTTCCTTCTCAGTCTCCTTTGCTGGATCCTCATCCACACCACATGTGCTAACCATAGGTGTCCCACAGGGTTCTGTCCTAGGACCTCTTCTCTTTTCCTTCTATCTTACTTGGTGATCTCATCAGCTATCATGGATTTAATTATCATCTCTGTGCTGCTGATTTTTAAAACTACCATTCTTGCTCCAATCTCTTTGCTGACTTCTCATCTCCAACTTTCTTTTAGACATCTTGAACTGGATATCTAGTAGATAGCTTAAACTCCACATGTCCAAAACTGAACTTACTATCTTTTCCCCCTAAAACTTCCTGTCACCTCCCAAACTTCTCTATTACTGTTGAGGGCAATACCATCCTCCCAGTCCCCCAGGCTCACAACCTAGGACTCATCCTGGATTCTTCACTACCTCTCAACAACCCCCCCCCATATCCAAGCTGTTGTGAAGACCTATTAATATCATCTTTGCAATTTCTTGAATTTACCCCTTTCTTTCCTCTGACACTGATGCCCTCTGGTATGGACCCTCATCACCTCATGCTTGAAGTATTGCAATACCACACTGGTTGTTCTGCCTGCCTCAAGTCCCTTCCCACTCCAATCTGTCTTCCATTTAGCCACTAAAGTGATTTTCCTGAAGTGTAAGTCTGATCATGCCAATCCTTTACTCAATAAACTCCAGTGGCTTTCTATAACATCCAGGATCAAGTACAAAATCCTCTGTTTGCCATTTAAAGCCCTTCATAACTCAGGCCCCTTCTATCTTTTCAGTCTTCTTACACCTTACATCTCTGCATGTACTCATTGAATTAGTGACAGTGGACTTACTTGCTATTACACAAACAAGACACTCCATTTGTAGGCTGTGAGCATTTTCTCTGGCTGCCCCCATTATCATTTCTGCCAGTTTGCTTCTCTGGCTTTGTTCAAGTTTCAGGTAAAACCCTACCTTCTACAGGAAGCTGTCCCCAATCCCTCTTAACTGTTGGGCCTTCTCTCTGTTAATTATTTCCTATTTATTTTCTGTATATCCTATTTGTACATATCTGTTTCTTGTCTCCCCCATAAGGTTGAGGTCTTTTGCCTTATCTCTTGCCTTTCTTTGTATCTTCAGCATTTAGCACAGTGCCTGGCATGCAGCAGGTATTGCTTATTATTATTATTATTATTATTATTATTATCATTGATTATTACTGCTTATAGATTTGCCTAGGGTCACACAGCTAGTAAGTATCTAAGTTGGGATTTGAACTTGGGTCTTTCTGACTCCAAATCCATTGTGCTATCTACTATGCAATCTACATCATTACAAATTTATAGCATTTGTCTTCATGTTCTTTTACACTATTACAGTCATAGTGTTTGTTGTTTCCTGGTTCACTCTGTATCAGTTCACGCTGTCTTCCTATGTTTCTCTGAATCTCATATTAGTTACTTATTACACTGCAATAATATTCCATTAGGTCCATATATTATACCCTGTTTGGCCATTCCCTTTTCTGTGTATTCCACTACACATCTAGGTGGATAGAGTATTGTAATTGGAGTTAGGAAGAGAACTTACTGGCTCAAACACTTCCTAGCTGTGTATCCCTGGTCAAATCACTTACCATTTCTCAGCCTCAGTTTCTCCATCTGTAATATGGGAATAATAATAGTACTTTCCTCCCAGAGCTGTTGTGAAACTCAAATAGGATAACAAATATAAAGTACTTTATAATCCTTAAGATGCTATATGCCTGCTAGCTATTATGTTATTATTATAATGATGATCTATAATAGTTTATTATTATTATTATTATTATTATCCTCTGAGGTGTATTGAAAGTCCTCCAGACCTTAGTAGGTAGTCAAATGACTTGGCACAACCAACAAATAATTCACTACCTGGCACTGAGCCTTCTGTTCACGAATGTCTCTAAACATACTTAAGCTAAGCTGGTCCTCCAGGGATGATCTGTATTTAAACCCATACTGGAAGCTTTTCCAGCTTGATCAGACCTGTCAGAGCTTATATTCCACTAGCATAGCTTTTAGAAATCCAGGCCACCTCCTTCAAGATGAAGCTGCAGAGAGAGAGCAGGGCTTTAGCGAATATCACCAAACACACAAAGTTGAAATAGCACCTTGGATAGCTAACCACTTTATCAACCAAAATAATCTGTCTCTTCCCTTCAGTCCATAAGCCACTGTTGCTCAGAACCAGGATAAGGTTTGAACATTCACTCATATTTATATTCATTCATGCAAAAAAAACCCATTTATTTAGTGCCCACTGTGTGCAGAACACAGTACTTAGTACTCAGGAAGGTGCAGACCCATCCTTGTCCTTATGGGGATCACAGCCTATTAGGGGGATATGATACACAAAGAACTGTAATACACAATATTACATGCGAAGTGCACTAGAGAGCAGCAAAAAAGCCCAAAACAGTGGATTGGGAGGGCAGAGGGGACAGGCTACATATTACTTTCCATCAGTGACTTTGAGCTTCCGTTATTATCCGTGACAGTTGACAATGCAAAATAAATCTCTATCTGAAATAAGGAATGAAATTTTGTAACATTTAAATGCATGCATTCATTTGTTAGTTTTGT